ATAAAATTTAGTCTCAAATCCGTCAGTAGAAAAATTAATTTCTAGTTTATGGTTTGGAAATATATATTTCCTTTAAATAATTTACTTTGGGATCTATGATTGTTTGTTAATTGTGCGGCTGGTTTCTAAAAATCTCTCCTAATAAGGGATTAAGACTTTGACAGGAAGTGCGTAGTAGGTAATTTCTCTTATAGTGTTCCATAGTAAAAAAGCCTCAACCTTAGTATTTTTTCCTTGATATTACTAAACTAAGAGCTGGACTTTGCAGTGATACTAAGACTTCACGATATAAAACATGGGCATGGAAAATATACGATCTGAAAAACAGGCCATTCCGGTTGCTTTCCATGTGTTTCAAATAGTACCAAGTTGTGATAACAGCCACAGGCTAACGAAAGATTCCCTTGAGCTAATGTTTTCGCCCATAAACGCCTAAGGATATGGCATTACAAATATGGTTTTGTTTTTGTCTGAAATTGATTTACGTTGCTAAAAGAGAGATTAAAAAGTGGCCAAAATTACACTCAAAATCAGCCTCTGGGGACCCCTGAGGGGCTGATATCCAGAACTCGGCTAAAAAATGATCGTTGAACCTGAAACTTTGGCAAATTACATAAGTCCACATAACAACTTTGTGTAACAATTTTAAACGAAATCGGCTGACCTTCATTTCCAAGTCTGCCCCGGTCTCTCAGGCAGAAGCTCTTAAGTCACCTAGGGCTTTTTTCCAAAACTTAGTATCATGTCCGAATAACGACATGGATATGCAAACTGCGTCAGCAGTATATAACACAGGCCCTCTGTTACATCGCAAACTGTGCCATTCCCACAAACAAATCCTGGAGGCAATCTTAAAGCATCAATGAGGAATGGAATATCTGCCTTTTCCAATCGAAAATCTGTTTTACACTCTGCAGAATCCTTGTTCAACAGGGAAAATGTTTCGTATTGACAGTGAGAAAATGGAAGATTTTGTGGCGTATATTCCTCGTAGAGTACGGCAAATTCTTCATCATCAATAATTTCCTCTTCTAAACAGAAAAGCAGCATTTCTTGAACTGCTTTAAACAAGCTCATGGCGTTTAGTTTGGATGAAACCTGTTGCGTCTCAAGTTGCATTGTTCTTCTTCACGTTGCAGCTCTTAACTTAAATTTTTCCCGTGCTTACAACGCCGTTCTTGGCTCAGGCTTTCAATGGTTACGACATTCTAGAAACTGCCGCATCCTCGTATCTTAAAGTCCCTAAGGAAAAAACTGAGAATTGCTGGGTTCTTTGCATCCTTACCTTTTCTAACATACATTTTTAATAAATGAATAAAGCCATAAATACACTGTGTTCAATTATGAAGAAAAAAAGCACAGATAGAGAGGGTATTGACCAAATAAAAAGATCACTCTAATGATGCCATGTTTGCTTTGTGTAATCCTTGTGCACACAGCGAATCGCATTAGCAAGAGCGCACACGGAAATTGGGTTGGACCTCTGGTGACGTCATCAGAGGAGCTGGCTGAAAGCACTCAAGAGACCTTTGACTGGGCTTTGAGTGCCATGAAAGCATATTTGGGGTATTTGTGCTTCATAATTTATAACAAATGTTTAACACTGTAGGATTATTACATAACAGTTTAGTGTCCCAATGCATGCTGGGACCACATGCAATAAACGAGTAGCCATTTTGGTTGTGTGAAACATGTTCTCTTGTTTTCTCCACCTAATACTGCAAACACTATAAATGGAAGAACTGTATCACCTAGCAATACAATTCAGAGTGTAGCTACGATTAAGACAGCTAAGAGATGTGAATATATTTTTTTCAACTTCAAAGTGCAGGTTGCCAGTCATTGCAAGTCACAATCGACAATTTGCTGGCCAATTTGGCTTTAAGCCTTTTTAATATGAAGGTTAAAATGATGGCTGAAGAGTTATAAAGATGTGAATGAACAAAAAGCATGGTAATTTGACTTTGTCTAAATTCCCTAACACTTTTTCTTGCCTCTGAATGTGTCATTGAGATAGAGGTATAAGATGAAAAGGATTGCCCTCTCCTAAGCTTGCTGTACTGCTACTCCCTCCAAAAACACTTCTTCCTAGCGTTCTGCAACGATTTTGAATCAAACTTACATGTTCACATATATTCTTCTCAGAAGCAAAATGATGTTAGTCCTTCAATGATGTCACAGACCAACTCATCCCATTCTTCGCTATTCCTTGGTCATGGCCATGGAAAAGGCCAAATTTATAAACTTTGAAAATTCATAGAAAATTAATGAAAATAGCTACAAACTTATGATAATTTTTTGTCAGTGGTAATCAACAAGGAGATTTATATATTAAAGTGCCTATGAAGTAAAAAATAATTGCTGCTGATTTGAAAGGCTTTTCAAAGTAAAGAAGAATGGCGTTTTCCTTTTTGGAATACCTTTTTNAAGGGAAAGGCCAATCTTCTTTACTTTGAAAAGCCTTTCAAATAAGCAGCAATTATTTTTCACTTCATAGGCACTTTAAGCCACAGGAAAATTTGGGGTTAGTTGCACTTTAATAAACATCTCAATTTTGGAAACAAATTGAACTACGAACTTATACCATAACTTGTGATGTAATTGCTATCCAGTAAAATCACAATTTCAAAATTTACCTGTTCTTCAATGGATCGATGAACCTTAATGTACTGTTCTTCATAAGAACATGTCGGTGGTGGTCCTTTGTTTTGTTCACGGAGGTGGATAAGTCGATACACAGCAAAAAGATCCAACCTTTCCTGTAGGGACTGCCAGTTTACCAGATTCTTAGCAATAAGGGCTCCCATCTTTTAAATCCACCGAGCAGTACTTATTTAAAACAGTGCTGAAAACAAAATCAAAACCCAGCACTTACATTTCTCCTCCACAATAATATATGCTTTACTTCACTGGGCAGGTGTTCGATAAAATCAAAATTATTATATTGCATTTTCATTTATTCCAAAAAAATAATTAAGGGGCCATAAAAAGTAGGGGTAAAAGGTGTATATTCATTTAAAAAAAGACCTTAAATCTAAAAAATATGCAGACATTGCCACTATTTCTAAGAAGAATGGAAACCATCTTTCTTCACAGATTTCCTTAGACTTCATCCTTACATATGCGACATTTACAAAAATCTTTGAAAAACTGTACACAACAAATGGTAATATATAGCAACTGTTTACAACTTTTCATTTCCTTTTGTAACAAAATCATTCTAACAGCTACCCTGTGAGACAGGGATTCCATTGTCTTTCTGCTTATAAGAGAGATGAGAGGGAACCTCCACTTGCAGATGCTAAGATTCTTTTATCAATCGCCATCCCCAACCAGGGATTAAAAATACTGGTTTTGACAAGTTTTAGCCGCTTTATAACTTACCCACGACAGATAGGATTCAAAATGCAGTCTGTTTGCAAGAATGCCTACAATAATTACTACCTTGTGATTGGCTACAAAATTATAAATTGTTGGCAGTACTACACTGACATAGGTTCGTCACATACACATCAAATTCAAAACGTTTGTCCAACAATCTTTGATCTTTTGTTGTTTGCACAGTTTGAGAAACTACAAGTGTTCAGTAGGGGTATTGAATGGTCTTTGTGAGCATTTGCAAACATGCAAACAGTGCATTTATTTTTGCAAGCAAGAGGAGTGATCAAATTTGTCTTGCGAGCAGCGAGCACTTTAGAAAATAGAGAAAGCGAGTAGCAAGCACTTCACAAGTGAATATATGAAATATCATATATTTGAACTGTGAAGAATGAGATGAAGACAAGATTGATCATTGCAGTTATACACACAACTTAAGAAGTTGTGAAATCAAAGCGTGAAAAAAATTCAGGCATGAACAGGATTCAGACCCATGACCTCTGTAATACCAGTGCAGTGCTCTACCAACTGAGCTATCAAGCCAACTGGGAACTGGTCACATCATGAGTTCGTAAGATACTAGCAAGTACTTTGTAAATTTTCCGCTACCTGTAATCTCTCTTTTATTGAAAGGAAGCATTGTTTTGTGCAAATTAATTTGACTGACACCTCTAAGACAGGACAATAGCCACAAAGCTAGGCAACACATCAAGACCTTTTTGCTGTTCAACCAAACCCAGCAACTTACAGCCAGTTATGCCTTGTTTGATGCCAAATTGTATCAGGTAGCTTCACGTGAGTCAGTAGGTGGACGTTCAAGGAGATCTAAAGCAGGGTGTCTAAAGTTTTCTGGCCCGAAATTGTGAACATACCACAAGAAGAAGCTAAAAGCTACCAGACTAACCATAAACCTAAAGACTCACAAAATTGTAGCAATCAAGCACATTTTGATGAGAATCTGAGCATAAGAGCAGTTCAAAATTTTGCGAGCACAAGCAAGTGAACACTTATCTAATATTTGCGAGCGATTCAAGCAAAGGCCAAGTTTTGTGAGCGCTTTTAAATTGAATGAGACCATACTATACCCCTCAGTGTCAAAGGAACATTATGTGAGTGTTGATAAGCAGGTTATTAAGCTTTAAAAAAGTTTTTAATATTTATTCCAGTTTTCTGTTATCCAGTTTTTCTGTTATCTGCAGCTAGCTTTCAGTTTGCGAAGCATGCACTGGACAGCATGGTATTGAATAAAGCCAATTTATCGTCTGTTTCTTTTTGTTCAGTACTACGTAAAACTTTATGAAATTTCTGTAGTTTCTCTTCCAAATAAACACCACAAAAGTTAGAATTCAAGTAATTTGCCACAGTTTAACTGAAAATAACCAAAAATGGGATTGCCTGAACATTCTACATGGCATGATCAAGGCAAATATATGCGACATGTTTACCTATAGTTCGCACATGCACAATAGAAAAGCAAGTAGTTTTGAGCAGACGTTTTCTCTTATCTCTCCCCAAGGAATCTCTCTCTTGCAGTGTTAATACCAGGTCGCAAGTTATGCGTGACTTTTATTGTGACTCTGTATTTTCAGTTATCACAGTGGTCTGGGCCAAGTGAGACCCTGGATAACCACGTTAGTGCTTGTAAAAAAAAAAAATGTAAATCTTATTTATTGTGGTCATGCACTTAGCTATATAAGCACTAAGATTAGCTAGTTTACAGGCATACCACTGACACAAAGGAAACTGATATTACAAATAAATGTAACATAGTTAAAAATCCCAACTGGCAGGAGGCAGACCAGTTGGCTATTTACAAAGTGTGACCAAGGAGTTGAACTCGGGACTACCGAGAAACAAATCCTGCTAGTGGCAGGGGGTCAGGCCTTGAACCCAGGACCTCTAGATTACAACACCAGTGCCCTAAACCACTCAGCCACGTCTGCCTCTTTTTTAGCTCTGTGAACATTTTTCACACTAGATTCATGGTCAAAGTTTTATGGTATTATTTATGGTTTCATACCTTACTACCCTGGGTGCCAGAGGGTTTTTTTTTTGTTTTTGTGGTGAATCTGCGATTGTTAGTGGCAAAGCCGCGAATACTAGCCTCACTTCCATCAGTACAGATATTGAACTCACTCACTAACTGGTCCTCACACCTAATGACCTTTCTGAGTGATAACAATCTAAAACTGGCTTTCATTGGTTAATTAAACCACTTCAATGCACCCCAGCAGCAGTGGAAACCAGTTTCTTTTGGCTCAACGAAACAATAAACAAAGCTATGTCGCTGGAAGGAAGCAGTAAATTCTAGCGAGCATTTTCAGGTGCAGTACAGTATGCACTGGATACTGGATTTTCAGAAATATTAGGGTTGAAGCCTGTTAAAGAAGAGGCCCGGCTTCACTAAGTGGGAAGATGTGTTTGCAGTGCTGCCGGGAAATCCTTGATCTTTCAATTGTGCCTTGAGTCAGTGCATAATTTATACGATCAAGGTTTTGGATATCCAAAAGCTGCCATTTTAGTAGTTATTTATCTGCACTCTAATTGATTCGCGTATGATCCAAGACATCCAACAACTTAAAGATCACCGCATATCTGCCTGTTCATTCGATGACACCTTTTAACCCATTCCACAGAACTGAGAAGTTCTCCCTCAGTCAGTTCGTTTTGTTCTTTCACTAACCTCAGAGCTTTCTCTTTAAACAGACTTTTTCCCTCAGAGAGTTTTTCAAATAGACCATATTTGTATTCTCGGTATTAGACTGGAACTAGCTTGCAGTGGAGGCTCATGCAGGGGAATATCATTAAAAAGAGATTAATGTCATTTGCATTTGAAAAGACACCCTGCATTAGCCTCAGTTGCAAGCTAGTTCCAGTCCAATACCGAGAATATGAATATGGTCTATTTTCTCCACTCCTCTTTAACATTTCATGCACAAATTAGACAAGACAGTGAAATCTTAGCCTGCATCTTAGACACTACCGCAGGTTATTTAATGTAAATTTCTGTCTGCGATGCAGGCTATAATCTCTTTGTTCAGCTTTGTTGACAGGAAATTCCAACATTTCACTGTCGCTTTTATTTTTTTTTGCCAGAAGGTCTGGATAGTACCAGACACGTTAAAATTTGGAGAAACAACAGAACGTTTTTGGAAACATGTTTCAACAGAATCTTCTGTCATCTTCACTTTAAATTATAAAGTACAGAGTTGAATATATGGTGTACGCAAAAAGCTAATTGACTATAAGAACAAGAGGAAACAAGACAATGTAAAATATTACAAAGAAAGTTTTAAATTAACATGACAAAGTTGATGATTTAGTTTAGGTTTTTCCCATTGAATATAGCATCTTCTACCTTAAGCTGGAAGGTGGTGGAAGCACGATCTAGGATACTGAAACAGTCTTTGGAGCATGAAGTGCGGCATTGCTGAGAATTTTGTATGTGTTTGAAAATGTGAGAGGTCCTGTCTGAACAGCTTTGCCACAGAAAAACAAAAACCTCTGGCACCCAGGGTAACAGCTTACCAGTATTATTATGGCTAAAGTTACGAATATTATCAATGAAGGTTTCAGGACTGACTAAAGGACAGAGATTTTTTGTTATGAAATGTAGTCGCAGGACTGCCTTGCAAACAAACAAATACATAGAATAAACAATTCATTACAAGAGTCATCACACACTTACCGCACTTATCATACTTGTCAAATTCGCTTTAACATGCCTTATCACTATGTATAAATATTTGTACAAATGAATGGATAATGTCTCAAGAACAGTGTGCAAAATGACTCTGTAATTAATTGGTTACTCTACATACTGGTTTGTTTGCAAGGCAGTCCTTCAACTACACGCTGGGCATGCTCTATTCATGTGTAGAATAGGCTTACCACTTCCATGAAATTAAAAGTATGGCAAATCCTTTGCCTAGAACTAAGGGCATTTGAAACCCATTTTTAATCCTGGCGATGAGAATTTGAGCCACTGAAAATCCCTGAAGTTTCAAAATGGAAAATACCAGAGGGAGTGGGGATTGAGATTCAAACTGAATGACCTCGAAACACACTCTGTACTAAAAAGAAAAAGTCGCAATCAAGCCAAACTGACCCATAAGGTAGAAATTTGTTTACAAACATTGTTTTTGTTATTTAAATGTTCAAAACGTCAAACAAAAGAATTCTTTGTTTAACCAGCCAATAGTTCTCTGGTTGGCATATTTTTAACAATAGTGACACTGACGTCACTGACATCTTTGCTACATAATGCTCATTTATTTAGTACCGTGCGACTAGGGGTATTTTCATTGCATGGCTATATCTGTACTGTGATGGGCGAAATAAAGTTATTATTATTATTATTATTATTAGGTAGGTATTGTTGGGGAGGTATTGACTTCAATCAGAGAGAGATCCAGATAAGCTTACATCAAGTGAATATATACCATATAAGTTGCAATTTTGTGGTCATGAACAGAAATACATACCTTGCCTGTTACTTTTTCTTTTTCATGATTTAACCAAGCCACTCATAAAGAAACTTACTGCTGGAATCTCCCCACCAGCCCCATTTGTCCTAAAATAGCGTCTCCCCAAATAACTATCACGCCGTATTAGCAGGCAGCATGCACTTCCTCCAACCGAGTAAGCTCGCTAGACCCTGGGCATGACATTGAGCAGGTGGCTATTGGTGGCCACTAATTCGCATGCGCCCACCTAACAAATAAAAGATTACCAAGTCACAGGCTGAATGATTTTGTTAGGGAACAGCTGACTAGGCTGTGTGGATGAGGATTTGTTTCTCTGGGGACATTATCCGAAGAAAGATCATGTCTGAAAGCGAACAAGACGTTGAAGATCCGGATCAATTGGTTATTTGCCCGTACGATTCCTCTCACAAGGTAACAGCCGCTCGAATGGGACATCATTTGATGAAGTGTAGAGGAAACTTTCCGATCAGTGAAAAGGCCATATGTCCGTTCAACGACAAACATGAGATTTTTGCCCCAGAAATGGACTATCATCGATCAGTCTGTCCTCACAAACCAGTAGAAAGTGAAATACAGCAAGATGTTAACGACACGATCGACACTGATGGGGGATTTCCGAAAGACAAATTATTGGGAAGTTTTTCATCTGGAACTTCTTTTAATTTTTCGTCGGGCGAAGCGAATGCGACCGGATGCGAGAGTGGGCTTGATGTAGTAGGCGGCATACGAAATTTCATTGGAGAAGTAGATGAAATTGGTACGATGGTTTTTAACGAACCAAATGGCGAAAACCAGCACGCGCAAAACAGATTAGGCCAAGACTATCGTGATATGGAGGAAAACGATTTAGTTTTACCCATAGTCGAATTAAAGTCGCCCAACCACAATAAATCAATTGAAAAGCAATTAGAACAATCGGAAAGTGACATAACTTCTAAAACTAACAGCTCCATAGAAAGCGATGAAAGGTTCTGTGAAGAGGAACGGTTTGACTACACAAAATACATACCTAGCAAGGATCTTAAAGAGGACTTTCTCAAGTTGATTGGTCAACCCAGAAATGGCCAGGTGTACGAGACCAAATGTCAGTCTGGAGGTCAGTCATTTGCCGTTCAACAATGGCCACAAGGTTACAATGCTCTCCCCGCGCTATTTCAAACCAATAATGGTTTCCAGGCGACCGGAATACAACCAACTTTTGTTTCATTTAACATGATGCCACCAGTAGCATCATGCCAGCTTCCCTACACAAGCTCGTATGGTTTCCATAACCAGACTCCTGGTCCAGGATTCCTTCAGGCACCAGGTCAAGGATTAGGCTACGACTACACTGGGTATCCATCAGCCAGGCCTAGCTACTATCGATCTTACTACCGACGTCGAAACTACTACAGTTCTTCTCGTTACAGTAACCACAAAAGCTACAACACTCAAAACCATGAAAACCATGAAAACCATGCTGAAACATTCTTCAATGGCTTAAACCAGTCAGAGATTGGTTTGGGTGAAAGTAGTTGTTATCTAAACAAATTAAATGGTACAAAAATTCATGATGAAATACCAACTTCCCACTCTCTGTGTATCAGCAATGGGTGTGACAAAGAGCAACCGTTATTACCTCCACATCTCAGCAAAAACAATTTTTATTTCAAGAATAAGGTGGATGATGTTGATGGGCAGGAGCAGCTTGCTGGTTTTGATCAAGTTCCCAACAAAATAATCACTGGAGACTCTAGTGCTGAAGGAATGGCAAATCACCATGGCTCTCAACAAGACTTAAAAAGAAAAGAAATTGAGAAGCAGATCCGTAAAATTAAAAAGAAATTGGCTGAGATAAATGGTCTGGAAGAGAAGTACCATAAGGGTGCTAGCTTGGACTGCGACCAACTAAAGAAGATGTCAAGAAAGGGTGAATTTGAAGATCAACTGCAGTCACTTAATTTGCCATAGGATTAAGGTAAGATCTTTTTAACTTCAAACATTTTTACTCATAATTCACTCAGTTATATATCAATTTTTTTATGTCATTAATGACAAAGGTATGTAGTCCAGTGCCTGGTTGCTCAGAAGAGGTTGAATCTTTTGTTACCATAGGTTTGGTAACCTTAGGGTAAAACAGCATTGTTCAAAGCAGGGTTAGTGGGTCAGTTAGTTTACCTTACATTAAGGAAGTTAAACTCCCAGTTAGCATCCTGTATAATACTCCTTGTTGGTTTTGAACACTGAAATGGCTTCCCTTGAAGTTAAATAACCATGCAAGTGGACGAGAAAGCAGAACTTAAGGTGTCTCCATAGGGTAATCATTTATGGTGTTGCACGCACAAGTGTTATGTTTTGAATGCTGTTTTTGCATTCGCTTTCACAGCTAGTCCTCTCAAACATATTACATATAATAAGCAATGATTAAATAGTATTTTGCTATCATCTCTGTTAAAATTTTGGGATTTAGTCTTGAATTATGAATGCCCAAACAAATGTGTTTTTTACTGTTTTTGCGGCTTTATTTGTGATTTCCATGAATTTCCTTCGGTGAAATCTTCCAAAATTTTTACATCACATCGCTTCCAGTGGGATACGAACTTTAAACACGAAAAAAGTAGGGTTTGTAAAGGCAGTTTTTGCGATATTTTCAAATTTGTCTTTTACTGCTGCAAAAAATCTGGTCTTATAGATTTCCCTGAAAAATGAGCTCCGACTAAAATAAAATATTTACTACCAATCTGCCAAATTTAACAGAATATCACCAAAGGAAATGCAAGAAAATTCACTGTCAGTTTTGCTTTTTGTGCTCATGTTGACGTAATAAAATATCGAAAAACACTGACGTTTTCCCTTGAGCGCACGTCGATTACTTCCTCAGCGCTCGGGCAATCATAAAACTATAGGGAACCACCTTAAGTACATTAAAATTTGCCTTACATGTAGCAATACCCGGACAAACAGCCTGACCATTTTGTTTCAGTTTAACCTGAATTAAGTTAGGTAAACCACATCACAAGATGTGTTAAATTTCATAACTGTAACTTAGCTTCAAACAACAGAACTAACGCACAGTTGTTTCTAACCTTGTGTAAATAGATTGAAGATGGTGTCAATGGAGTGAACTGTTTAGCATATAATGATGGCTTCCTGGCTAATGTAACCATATAAACAACAAAATATTAACTGACTGATGTATAAAAGAAGCCAAAGGGTGCAGAGTTTCTAGGGTAAAAAAAAAAACATTTTTGAGGTGCAAACATAAATGTCAGTTTTAGTTTTCCTTGACCTCGTGTAAGACCCTGTTTGCATGGGTGCCTCACCTAACCAGGCTACTGGCTAGGAGGATTTAAGCATAGATTACCTTTACATACAACTTGCCTAAGTGGGCTAGTCAGTGGGCTATCTTTTGGGCGGCCACTAAGTGCAACAAACAAGATTCACAAAAGGACTGTTTTGGTGGCAAGTGTATACTCTGTCCAGCAGGTAAACACTTCAGTGAGTTCCTAAAAGAGTTTATGAAAAGTTGCCTCTCCCATATCTTTTGGTTTACTGCACAACAGCAATTTTCAGTGCATGTGATTGAAACACTGCTATTACGTTAGAGACATTCTACAAGAATAAAATTAAACTACAAGTTGCAGTCTTGAATTAATGTGTCGTGTACCTTCAACCAGTGTTCTTTGCACACCTCTGGCATATTTGTTTTCATCTGGGCAATCACAATGTCTCACTTACACAGTAGTGAATATAAAAGAGAAAATAATTTGCATCGAACAGGAAAAGATTGATTGATTGTTTTTGGAGAACATTCTGTTTACTGCTACATTGCTCTGATAGTTCAAATACATTGCATGATCAATTCATGTACTGCTTGATCACAGTGGGACACAGCAGTGTTCAATTTGTTCACTGTTTGCCACTTTTACATGTATTGTAATCCAGTTTTTGTTTAGATCTAGCTCCCAGTTAACTAGCTGGATTCAATAAATAAGGCCTCGAATTCCTTAGTCTGACATATAAAACAAGTCTGTGTTTATTGTCAGTTGACGATCTTGTGGCATGTGAAAAACCCGCACCAGTCTCATTACCAAATGGAATGTCTGACTGATTTGTATTACTAGTGGTCAGCAGTTACTCAATGAACAAAGTTTTCAATAAGGCAGTGACGGCCAGCACATTGCGAACTTTACTTTTGTCTTCCACTGGTATCAATATGATCTACTCTCCTGAAAATATCAAGTTAATGAACGAAAAACAAAAAGTTTTATTTGGTGGTAAGCAGGTTCAAGATGACACTTAGAGAGGAAAGCCACGGTGTACTGTATTAAACATTAACAAACCTGAGTCACTTTTTGTTTGACCAAAAATTGTCAGCAGAATTTTCTCTGAGGGGTGGGGAGAGCAAGTTTCCCGTTTGTTAGAAGTTTTCGGAGGAGAGGAGGGGTTAATTATTTTGGAATTTGAACGCTGGGGGGGTAGAGCATTTTCGAATTTCCCAAGGCAAGGGGGGGTTAAAATGTTCATGCCACCCATGGTAACTTAATGGGTCAAGAAAGGAATTTTTTTCACAGTCTAGAAAAAAGGGAATTAGGAGAAGGACTTATTAGCTTAGAAGAGCACACTAAATAATGAAATCCTTTTCAGTGGACAAAGTTCCTGGAAACAATGGATTGCCTGTAGAATTTTACAAGACTTTTTGAGGTATACTAGAGGAACTATTGGTAAACTGTTATGTATAATGTGTCATTAAAAAGGAGAAGCAAGTTCTTCAAAAAGACCAAGATCGTTGCAATCTCAAAAACTGGAGACTGATTTCTCTTTTGAATGTGGACACAAAGATAGCATCAAAAGTGTTTGCTGAAAGAATAAAAAACAGCTCCGGGAAATACTACATACAGTCGAACCTTGATTATCCAGACTCGTTGGGATTAGACGAAATAGTCCAGATAGTAAAGGGTCCGGATAATCGAAAATATGAATATTAATGAAGAACAAAACTGTTTAAATAAAGCAACATTTAATTGTGAAACAACCCTTTTACAAATCGCTTGGAAAACAATATGGTCTACTGTACATCTTGAATTACTTAACTCTGAGCCAATCAGAACTCATTCAAGTGTTTTTCATTAGTTACAACGTGTACGAGCGCTGCTTTTGCTCTTTAAAAGCAATTGCTATATGATATTCTTTGTATTAAGCAAAATAAAATGGTTGTTGTTGTTGTTGTTGTTGTTGTTAAACAAACTCGCTTTTGACTGCACTTTTCAATGCTATAATTTTGAAAAGAATATTGCTACAGATCTTGATCATGACTAATAAATATTCATGACAAAATTGAGACTTTAGAAAGAGCCCGGATAATCAAGAAATCTGGATAATCGAGGTATGGATAATCGAGGTTCGACTGTAACAAGCAATTACGTAATATTACAGTTAGATATATTGGTGAAAACATGCACTCAATTCTGGACATTATGGATTATACTAAGACTAATAACCTAACAGATCTTTTTTTGTTTATTGACTTTGAGAAGGCCAAAGTTACTCTTGTAATAATGGCTTATTTGCATCTTTTGCCTTCTTGAGGGATAACATGGAGGCCTTGCTGTCCAAGCCTTGGTGGAATCCAAACATTGACTGTCATTAAAAAAAAAAAAATTCGAGTTCATTTCACTCCTCTGTCATCTGATTGAAAGAAAAATATGTGCAGTAAAATGCAATCAGTATCCTTAGATTTGATAAATAATATACTCTGAAATAACAGCTGGATTACACTATTGGACTAGAGATAAACAATAAGTATCCTTTAAGGTATTGCAGAATTACATTTAATTAAGTAATTGTGTATTACAAGAGAAATGGTAAATGACACTGACAATGACAGTAGAATGTTATAAACAGGAGATACGTGTACAATGTTCTTGCTTGTTGATAAAGGAAATAACAACAAATTTGCTTTGTTTTCTGTTTTTCAGATAGGCAAGATGTCTTCTTTCAAGCGATTAGGCCATTTTAAGGAAGCTGCTGTGTTATTTACTTGTCAGTTGTCAACCAGTACTTACTCCCAGTGAAACAGATCAGCATGGAACATCCCATGGATTTGAAAGGGTAACCAAGGATTCAAGTAACTGATATGGAGGTGCACCGACCATTTGTCTCTGGTATTGCACTAAGTTAATGGGGTGTAGGTTCAATAGTAACATCTCTTGTGATGTTTGTTAAGGGATTTTTTTTGGTCCTTTATTTGTTATGTAACTTATTTGGATATATCTTGGGGTGGTACATCTTACACCTTCCTGTCACTTTTGTCTTTGATTAACTCCAAGGGAGGGATACTGCTGATTGGACTGGACTCATTGTATTGTCTCAGTGTTAGTATGTTTAAACTTTTATCTTTTACCATGACCAGCCAGTTTTAGAATAAGACATGCTTTGACTGAATGTCTGTTTTATGAATAATAATTATTAAACAATTATTGTTTAAGAATTGTCATTGACTGACTTGTGACTGAAGTCTCAAGCCTTGGGAACTGAAAAACAATGCACCTACAAGTATCGTGAAGATTACTGTGAGGTACCATACAACAGAGCTTCCAAGAGCTCAGCTACATCACAAAAAAATTGTTCAATATGTACACCATTTTTTTCATTTGTGAGTTATATTATATACATTCTACATACATTCATACTAAATGATCTTGCATAGACTTAAATTAGATTTTGCTCAGGAAAGTTTACAAATTTTACTTACTTACATTTACCATCTGGCATGTATTTTGACAGTTTCATCTGGTTAATTGTGATATGTTAACATATGATTTTCTCCACCAAATTAATTTGTCTGAAGGAAACTGCAATTTGCTTGATTGGCAGGCGGTATTTTGTTTTTTTGTCTGCTTGAAAATTAGCAAAGACACAAAATTCTCTTTACTGTTGATGTCCACAATTTGTTATCAGTCCAAATTTCTAACAAAATCATTTACAGTTTGACACACAAACCTGGACCAAGTAAATCCAAATGTATATTTTAATTAGTATCATTACATATGTATGGTATTATCAATCTGCCATATGACAAATTATCAATTAAATTCTTGGTAGCTTTCTTCATTTGAATGTAAAAGGAGGACATTGGATTATGTAGTATTGGTCATTGTTTCTTGTGGCAAGAAGATCAAGGATGCAGGCGAGTCAAAACTTAATGAAAGCCCTGCTTGACATAAATGCCAAACCACCCAACAGGGTTTGAAATAGCGGCCAGTCAATGGACAATGTCCAGTCAAAAAATTTTTTTTTTTTTTCAATCCAATCGTTGGGTTGCCGGCATTTTGTCCAGTCGTTTACACTTCAGAGGAAAATTTGATTCAGGGCTAGTTATAAATTTAGTTGTACATTAAACATGTTTGTGAATGAAAAAAAAAAGAAACCAAACAAAAGATACATCCAAACCAGCTTTGACTAGCTGCAGTAAAATTTCTGGTAGTTGTAAGTTTCTGCTTTGTCATCCATGTTTTGACCGCAAATTAGTGGGTCTTCCACCACTCTACAGTGGCCACTGTCATTTTTTTTTATCTTGGCAGACAGTTTATATGTTTACTCTTATTTTACTCTCTCTGCAACAGGTATCTCTCCACAACAACAACGTCCACTAAAATGCCTCTCAATGGTCAAAAATAATCTTTTGACCACGATGCCTCTTAAAGTGTCTGGTGAAGGGTCCAGGCTACTCTCTGAAATAAATTCAAACCAAATCTGTATCTTAAAAATTAAGGCCTAAGGACTAAGTTTGCTTGTTAATTCCTGCATGAATCATGTACGCTTGAATCAAAATTGAATAGTAGATGCGAAAGGAAGCAATAGTGGGACGCAAAAGTGTAATCAATTTTACCGAACATTCTGGCTGTGCTGCATATTCCATACTTTTTGCACTGAATATGAGCTACTTGTTCAATAAAAGCCCACTAAAATATTCTTGCATCATATTTAAGCATCATGCTATCCTGAAGGGAGAGAAGCACTTTTTTAAGAGTTAGGACGTAATGCACATCTGTCCGGCCAAAATCGTTTCTTGTCCAAGCAAAAATAGATTGGACCAGACAACTTGACTGGTGCCAGCCAGGAAATTATTTCAAGCCCTGCCCAGTGACTTAGGGCATGAGATAATTCTCATTAGGTATACTAGAGCATAATAAAGAAAGGCCATTCATGGTATTTCATCTGTTTTCAACATTGTGCCATGCTCCACATAATCAGTCAATGAAAATCCATTGATTAGCTACCAGGAATAGTTATTGATTAATTGATATCAACTGATCGATTAGTCTACTCATATCAATTAATTTTGGTAGTCAACGATTAATCAATAACCAAACCAAGCTGTTTGCTAAGTACCTTCCAATGATATTGTTAACTGCCAATTAACAGTGATTTCATCAGCTCCCTTGAGACTTCTGTCAACAACCAGGCAATACAAGGTCATATTCATTTATCAAAATGCCTTGTTGCTTTCAACACTGGCAACATGGATAAAAGATTGTGTTAATGTTTATTAGTGGGGGCTCGTGAATCAGTTTTGTGTCGATTTGTGAACAAAAAACAATCGACAACAACTGATGACAATCAATAATAAGCATGTAAGAGTATCATTGATTACTTATTGATAAAAAAAGATTCATCATCATCAATTGCTCATCAATTAAATATATTAACTAAAGGGTTACCAATAATACTTATAGATCAATTAATTTATTTTTTTCACTGGTTACCAGAGCATTGCAGTATTTCCTAAATTTTCGTGGTATTTTGGTGTTTGGTACCTCCAAAAGGCCCCCTTTTGCAGGCTTACGCTAGAGAAGGTGAGAAGTTGGAATTCTCATTTTCCTCTGAATGAAAATAAATAGACCCATGTCTCTGTTAATTTCCAGGACAAATCTGTTTTTCTGGAGCTACAATCATGATGTTATAATTATTATATTATTAAAATAAATCACGGTATAATTATTAAATTATCTCAACACAATTACCATTATCACCATAATCACCATTATCATTTGTCAATGTCATAGATATCATTGTTAAAACATACTGAGCATTAAAAGTGATACTTTTTTTTTGAGAATGACAATGTAGACTTATCCTCACCCTTCCCGCAAAGGAACACACTATTTATCATATTATTTATTAAGGGTATATGGTAAGGCATATAAGCCACTGTCAAAAGAGTAATGTTACGAGAGCATAATAACCTTGGGAGCTTCCATTTGTGCTTGTTGCACTGCTACAATCCCGCCAAAGTTTGTATATAAAATTAAATGAAAAGAAATATCTCTAAAGAAATAGTATTAGAAATGAAATGTAGAATGTTATAGAAAGAAATATTTATTTATATTTTTACTACCTTAGAATCCTATGTGCATTCATAGTCTAAAACACATAAAACAATGCTTTGTTGTTTCATTCATGTGTAAATGCCTATTTTAGGAAACATATAGAGAACCGAACATTTGTGCCATACTATTTTAAAAAGCTCCTGAAATTTGAGTTCACTGGAAATAATTTACAAATATGTCTGGTTCACAAACAGTTTCTAACTCTTTCTCCTGTGTTTTGATAGTGTAGCCTAGTAGTATACCTATTTCTAGTAAATGGCACATAAGGCCTTCACATTTATGGACAAAACCCTGTGCAACACAACACCAGCCTTGCTATAAGACTGCTGTGCCTGGTTTCTGCTTCTCCATTTCTCATATGTTTCTTCTCAAACCATCAAACAGTTCTGCACATCAGCAGTCCTTAAATTCCTTTGTTAATTAATGGTCTGCCATTAAACTTTCACAATTCTGCTAGATTATTTTTCCAAAATTATTTTACATAGGACATGTGCAATTTAAGCCACAATTAGCAACAGTGAGACAAGGTACTCTGTAATCGTGGCTTTCATTGTTTATCTATAACATAAGAAAGCTGACCTAAAAAAGTAATGCAAGTATACAAAAAATGAGCTACAACTCTGTGTCTACTCCAAGAAACGAAACAGAGAAAAATGAAAAATAAAAGTTTGGGTTAACATGCATGTTAAAGTATGGTTGCCATGTAATCACTAAGCCATAACAAATTGTGTACTGATAAATTATTTAAAGAAAAGCTCTGGACACACTTATTTATCGTATTTAGAATTCTTTAGATTTTATAAATCCAATATGTTAAATCCATGTGAGTACCATCTGTTCTCCTTAACCAAATAATCTTTATTTTGATAACGGATGGTCTGTTTGTTTGAAAATGATCTAATATTTTCAGAGAGAAAGTCTTGAATTATTTACTCACATATTTATTCGTTTATTTATTTGTTAACTAACGTGTTATTGATAATTCTCACAAAGTAGTCTTTATCAAATATTGAGTTATTTATGTGTTGGAGTATTTTGATATTTATGGGAAAAACTTGTCCCACTTAATTAATGTGGTATGTGTTAGTGATTTTGCTCGCTAATGTTCGTAGAACCACAAGGCACAAAATAGCGTCAAGAAAGTATAACCTAGTCTATACCTGCAAATACATGTTTTGGCTTAAACCTGATATCCGTCATTAATTTGAAATGATGTAGTGTAGTGATGTAAACGTTTAAACAATCTAGAATATTGCTGAACAATTAGAGCATGAAAAACAGACAATCACGGTAGTGCTAGTTTAAAAAAGAAAGAAAACTTAAATAATTTGTCTGTCTGTCTGTCTGTCTGTCTGTCTGTCTAACTGCTCATCTATCTATGTTATTTATTTCATTATTCAAGATTGTTATGATCATTGTAATGAGCTTGCGAGCCGAGTTGTCAAAGCATGATTAAGCTAATCCAGGATAGATTTATTTGATTTCAGTTTCGTAACTTCTCAGTGGGGTTTTCCATTTATTATTTTTTGTTCTTCAGTTTTGACTTTTGCGTATGTCAGACTCTCCCGACGTAAGCAGAAAAAGTTTTTGTGAAAGAGTTGTTATAGCAACAAGTTTTTATTTCTACTGAAATAAAAAAATAAATAAAATCAAAACCTGGATAACCAGGCCCAGATAACTTAAGAAGAGCCAAATTATTTAAGAAATGTTCTTTCTTCTAAAAGTTGTTATTAAATGAATCGAATATAATACACAAGTTAAATATTTGAAAAGAAATGTAAACGCTAGTACTTGACGTTTTGGCGTCATCTCATCGTCATTATCAAGTCTTACTTTTTGAATATATATTAGCTTAGGTGTGCAAAAGTCGAGAAGAATGCCAGCTAATTAAACGGTTTTGCACAAACCGCAAGACTTAAAATTTTACATTTGATAAAGGCCCCAATGACGCCAAAAACTAGCGTTTATATTTCTTTAAAAATTTTCCATACCTTCTCAAGTCAGAAGTTTTGATATTGATATTATAACACAGTATTTAATATAATAATTAGAAATTTGGCGTTTGCCACAACGTAGTTAGTAGTTTATTTATTTGAATGAGCTCTTAGCTCGAAGACGTGACATGTCTGATTTAATATGTGATTGATTTGATTTGATTTGTGGGGATGCTGATAATCCTCTATCTAGTCCCCTATTCTAAGCTATTCTAGCTACTTGACTGAACTGTTAGTGTAGCTTGTCTCTACAAAAGAGAGTTTCATTTTGGGTGTCACTTACTCTGTGTGATTACTTGTTAAGTGAAGCTGTTTCATTTACAGTCTTATCCCTGCGCTCTGACTATCCGGCTTCAAAAGGTTAGTCCCCATCCAAGATTTTCTTACAAGGTTTCTTTTACATCAGAAAAGAACAGTTCTATACTGTAATATGGGACTATAATGGAGGATTTATAGAAAATACTGCTGATAAATAACTTCAAAAGAACAA